TTCCCCCTTCCCCCGTTAAACCCTTTTTTCCCCAAGTGGGGGGGGGAAGCCGGCCCAGGGGGGGGGGGGGGGGGGGTACTCTTATGCTTTGCATGCCTTAGCGGTTAGACCATTGACCACGCGTCCTCGAGAGGACAGAGCATTGTTCCCACAGGACCGATCACCGATGGTCAATCGTTCCTTCCTACTTTGCCAAAGGTGGCTCAAAAATTTCTTTCCTAGTCTGTCTATCCTACCGATGTCACTTCCCGCTTTTTCAAACCACTTTCTACTCCCCAGTACCGCTACCGTCCTCTCCTCTCTATTCCATGCCTCAAACATCTCCCTGTACGTCCCTTGTATTCTTCCCAGCTCAGTCATGTACACTTCCCTCTCCTTTTCGTACCACGGACATTCCGCGACTACATGAACACTGTCTTCGCATTCGAAGCCGCAATCGCATTTGAACTTGTCGTCTTCGTCGTCTACCGTCCTATGTCTTCGTCGACGTTCGCGAAGGCCTATGTCCCCGGTCCTGAATTTGACCTTAAGCTTTGTCCCTGCATCCATTGGTCCATGTAGGTAATCCTTGAACCCTATTCCTTCTTTCAACATTCCGTACACTTCTAGACCCTCCTTATCCTTGGTTTCTTTCCTTAGATTCTGTTCTTCTCTCTCGGCACAAGCAACAGATATCTTCTTCTTGAACCCCTGTAGACCCTCCGTTTCCAGCGTTTCATCTTCGTCGATGTCCAATCCCTTCCATACGTCCTCTACAACCTTGACCCATTCCGTGGGTTGTCTACCCCTCTTTTTGTTTGCCCACTTCGCCTCCCATACTATTCTCGGCAACCTCTCCTCTCCCATCCCGCACATGCGGTACTGCCATGTCAGCTTCCTTACGTCTCTTCCCGACCGTAGGGATTGGATCCCCAATTCTGCCCTGACTGCTGCATTACTTGTGCGCTTGGAGCATCCTAGGATGATTTTCGCTGCTTTCATCTGCGCCGCCTCGAGTTCTTTCACTACCTTCTTATTTCCTTCCCATACTTCTCCGGCGTACTCCAGCGGCGGTACGATTACGCTCTTCAAAACCGTCAGTTTGATGCGTGTATCAAGGTGCCGGTTTGCGAGTATTGGGTGCAGCTTCCATGCTCGTGCTTTGCCCTTTTCCGCTACCTTGGACATGTGTGCATTCCACGAGCAATCTTTTGCGATCTCTACTCCGAGGTATGTGTACTGGTCCACTACTGCAATCTCCTCGATCCCCCACTTCCATCTATGTTCTACTGGTTCCTCCCTGCCCTCGTTGCATACCATGACGGCACTCTTCGTAACGTTGGCAGACAATCTCCACTTATCAGTAAACTTCTTCGCCGCGTCAATTTGCAGTTGCAGTCCCTCAGGGGTGTCCGACATACCAACAAAGTCATCCGCAAACAGCATTCCTGACACCGAAGTTTCCGTGTCCCCTACTTTTACTCCCTTCCGGACTGCCTCTACGACTTCCAACAGATCGTTGATGAACACCTGGAACAATGTTGGGGACAGCGTGCAACCTTGTGGGACCCCTTGCTCAATGTCGAAGAATTTAGACAGTTCTCCGTCTAGCATGACCGCGTTTTTCGTACACTCTGTCATCTTCTTCAGCACCCTCCACATTTTCCCCTTGATCCCGTACTTGGACAATTGTTTCCACAGCCCATTTCTCCATACGGTATCGTATGCCTTTTTCACGTCCAGGAAGAAGCAGTACGTCCGCTTGC